ACTATGTTTTTATACATCAACAACTATTGGGAACACCCCTAATAACACGCATGTGTGTGCATATATTTCTCTTTAATGCCTTCGGCGCTAATCATGAATATAATGTGTACATACACGTATGTAGGTGTGTGTTTGTTAAATTAGTTAAGTGCTTTGAAATCCACATATTTTTGCCTTACGCCTCATTTCACGTTATTACTAATTTATGCACAATTTAATGCGAAATTCAATTTAAATAAATATTTGTTTGATATATTTCTATCAGGCCACAAACATAGATAACTTTGAACTTATATGGTTAGATGCACATATTATACATATGTATATAAAATTTATCAATTTATTTTTGAGCACAACTATTTGCTTTTGAAATTATTCCTAATGTTTTTTTTCACATTTGTATATTGTATCGACGATTTTACAAAACACTATCTAAATAATTGCTATGCGTTTTCCAATTACGTTAACGAGTTCATTATGTGTCAAATTAAAATCTATATGTATAACAAATTATAAATCAGTATGTAATTATTTATCATTTTATTATAATTGTTGTTCAAAAAAATTTTAATTTATTTTTCAGGTCATTGTTCGGTTGAATTGGTTCTACTTTTTTTTTTTTTGTTATGTGGAACTGACTCTGACTCTGACTCTATTAAACACTGCATATTTTCAATTTTCTTTACGTGCCACCTGCCCCATATCGATACGAACACTCTGCTTTCGGCGCTTCCGTGTCAAACTTTCCTTCTTACTTTTACCTTTTGTATTATACCTTAGGATTAAAAGGAAAAAATAAATAGTAATCTTCTAAAAATACTTTATTGTTTTTCAAAATTTCTTTTTATATTTTCCTCTAAGATTTATGCACTATACAAATTAACTATGTCATGTGACAGTCTAAGCTTTTCCAACATGCTAGCGAAATTTTTTAAATCAAATTATTCAACTAACTCTCGAAGTGGCTTGTCAGCTCTACTTACGTTCAACAAGAATTATTTACACACCTATTATTTCTGTGGAAGATGTATTTTATCATTTGATGAATCTAAAACATTCTTCCAGCTATGGTCCAGATAAGATTTCTACATATTTGCTGAAAAGTTGTGTAAAAAATCTGTATTTGCCCTTAACTAAACTGTTTAATTACTGTCTCAAATAAGGTGTATTCCCCATAATAAGGTAGTAGCTTATTATAGTACCGTTACATAAAAATCTTTATAGATCTAATATTGAGAATTACAGAGCTATTACAAAAATATCCGCTATGCCTAAGCTTTTTGAGGCAATCATGGCTTGTCAAATAACGTTTTCGATCTCCTCACTACTACAGTACACTACAAAAAAACAGGCTCTTGGAAATCTTGTAAAACTTTTTTAAAAGTCGTTTAAAATCTCTATAAGGAAGCAAAGCGAGAATCTGGGAAGACCTTCTGCATCGTCATTGAAGAAAATACGGAAGGCAATAGAATTCAATCTCAAATTACATCCATAAACCCAATTGTGAATCGACGACATCTTGTGAAAAAATGCTGGATATCCTCATGAGCACTAAATTTGGGGATGTAATTGCTACATGTTCGAATATGTGTGGTAGAGCATTCGAACGAAGAAGGATTTACATAACTCCCACACTGTTTGATAATACATTACTCCTGGAATGTGAAGTTAATTTTATTACTAAACAAAATACAATTCAATATTATATGCGAATATATGTAGTTACTTAGTCAAGGTACTTAAATTAATTTATATACTCCAAAAAAATAATATTATATAATTATTGTAAACAAAAATAGATATAAACAGTTTTTTTTTTAGAATTTTTTAGAATAATTTCTTCCGGTTACCTCTCTATCAAACTTTACATCACTAATCTCTTTTTGATACTTACATTTTCTTCTAATTATCTTTCTGTCTCTTTTACAACCATTTGCATCAAAAAAATGAAATTTTTCTTTTTCCTTGACATCTTTAATGATATATTTTGGATTTTGTTTTTTTAATTAGTACCCGATTCTTAAAATCTTGACAGAGAGGATTGTTTTTATTAATATCTGTTATATTTTTCTCCTTCTTTTTATGTAATAGTTCGTTGCGTTTTTGCCAGTCTAATTTATCAATTTGCTTATGTAATAAGTCAAAGGGTTTATATCCAGTCGTGGTATGTGTGGTATTATTATAAATTTCTGAAGCTTTAAACACTATGTTTTGTCGTCAATACCTTGGTTGTTTTTATCTAGTTGAAATAGTCGTATATGCTTATTGAGCGTTAAATGGAAACGTTCTATATCAGAATTACCTGCGTGTGTATTAGGAGATGTGAAAGAAAGAAAAAAGTAAGAAAATTTTCAATGTATGCAGAGTTAAACTCATTATATGCTATAGCTTTTGTTGGTTTTCCTAAAATGGTGAACCTTTCCTTTAACATGCCTACGATAATGATTGAATTTTTAACTGACAGAGAATGGATGGATACATGTTTGGTAAGTTTATCTATGCAGGTTATAAATGGTTTAATTTTGCTTAGAAACCATATATCTAATATATGAAAAACTTCATTTGGGTTTTTAGGTGTCTCTGCAATGCATAACATATTTTTAATAGGATGTCGATCATATTTGCACATATTGCATATGATACAATGATATATGTATTTTTAAATTTCTAATTTAAAATTAGGAAAATAATACACGCGATTAAGGTCGTGGTATGTTTTTTCTATACCTCTATGGTTGTTAACATAGCTCTGCTTTGTCCATTACATCTTTCAAAAATATGCTGCATTTTAAAAATTTAGTACCTGAATTTGAAAAGTAAATAACTATGGCATTCTGAAATAGTTTGAAAATATCAAAACTCTTACAATAAATACCCATTGTACCTTTGATAAGCAAAAGTTCTTTTAAAATAGTTTTTACATAGTCTTCTTTATATGTTTTGAGAGTAATTACGGTTCGAGTTTTGTTTTTATGTAACATGTTCTTTATACATTTATTAACTTTCCCTAAATCTATAATAACTTGATGCTTATACATATTGACAGGCGATTCAGATATGTAGATGTGATCACCCAAATCTTCTTTACGGCCTTGCACTGTTGCTAAGTCAGAAAAAGAATTATCTAATTTTTTTTATCAAAAAAGTTAAGGTCAGCTCTACTTAAAAAATCTGCAATGGCATTTGTCTTTCCTTTGATATATATATATTGTCTGAAAGCGCTGCAACTACATATTAAGTTCTTTTAGTGAGTTTAACCAAATCAAAGGGCGATAATCTGTATAAATTTTAAAGTTTCTACCATATAAGAAATGCCGAAAGTGCTTGGTCGCCCAAACAATTCCAAGTAAATCTTTTTCTATCGTGCTGTAGTTAACTTCGTGCAAATTCAAAGTCCTTGATGCAAACGCAATTGGGTGACCGTTTTGTGATAAAACGGCACCGAGAGCAGCATTACTAGGATCTGTTGAAAGAACAAACGTTTTACAAAAATCTGGATAAGCTAGTACAGGACTTGAAGTAATAAGTTCTCTTAACTTAAAGAAAAATTATCTGTAATTGGTATCTTTTTTATCTTTAACACGACTGAAATCCTTTATAAATTTCCTATAAAAGCCAGAAATACCTAGGAATGACCTTATTTGCTTACGAGTTTGTGGAAGCTTTATTTGATTAATATCTTTAATTTTTTCATGATTTGGCTTAATTCCAACGGCTGAGATAATGTGTCCTATATATTCTGATTCTCTTTGAAAAAAATTGCACTTATCAATCTGTATTAAGGTTATATTCTGAAAGTTTTTTCAAAATTTTTCCTAAAGAAACCAAATGTTCACGAAGTGAAGTAGAAAACACCAAGATATCATCAAGGTAAACTACACAAAATCATGCAAAACTTCATTCATCATTCGCAGAAATGACGCTGGAGCGTTTTTAAGCCAAAATGACATGCGAGTATATTCATAATGACCTGTTGGAGTTGAAAACGCAGTTTCATGTCTGTCTTTTGGGCATATTGTAATTTGATGAAATCCATTTGCTAAGTTTATTGTTGTAAAATAATTTGAATTGCCTAGTTTTGACAATAGGTCATCTATATTAGACATAGAGAATTTATCTCCAACAGTTACATCATTGAGTCTTCTATAATCAATGACAATGCGCTACTTTTGCACTCTCGAGTTATCCATTTTTTTTTGGAACTACCCAGATATGTGCGTTATATGGACTAGAAGATTTTGTTAATATGCCAGACTTTAACATAGCGTTAACCTGTCTATCTACTTCTTCCTTATAAATTTCAAGGAATCGATAAGCTTTTGAATATATGGGTATGTCGTTAATAGTTGGTATCGTATGTAGATATTTACTAACAGTTGTTGTAAGATCGTCACCTTCTACATAAAAAATTTAATTGAATCGCTTAATCAAGATTGTAAGGTTTTTTATTTCTTCTTTATTTAGACGATCGGTTTTTAATTTATCAGTGATAATCCCAATATCTTTTTTATGAAATTGAATTTCTTTAATTTTAGAACATAAACTGTCTAACTCTGTTTATTTTGTTTTTGCCTCAACGTGGTCATCAAATAGTAATTTTAAAGTTTCATTTTCCGTTATCAATTCTTGTTTTTCAAAATCTATTTTCACTTTTAATGGTTTAAGTACATTACAACAATTAATTCCATCAAAATTTTTGTCTAACTTAGCTTCTAATATTTCTAAGTTAATATTCAGTAAATTAAATTCTATAAAACAGAGGAATGGTTATTTTTGAATCTAACAAAGCTGTCGAATTAATGGTTTTTAATGTTATATGTCTATCTAATTTTTTCCTAAAAGAACTGTTAAATAAATTTTTATTAATTATAGATGTTGCTGCTCCAGAATTTATTAACATTTTTATTGGTATGGTTTTAGTCATTATTATTATTGCCTATTATATTATGGCTTGAGTGAAAATTTTCTGCTTCTATATTGTCAATTTTCATTTGTTCATCTCTTTGTAGTCCCACGTTGCTGGAATTCTTCCTGTTTATTGTTGTATTGTTGAAATGTTGAGTGGTTCTTGTCTATGATACGAGGTTAGTTCCGGTGCCCGACTGTTTTGCATATTTCGAGAATTTCTATTGCTATTATTATTTAATGGACTTTGTTGGTCTTACATTCTGCGGCTTTTATTTTACTAACCATAGTTTCAATATTTTCATAAATGCCAAAAATTCGTTTTTAATATAATTTTTATGGTTTCCCATTCTAATGGATTTCCTTACCTATTATTTTATAACGGATTCTTAAATTAAACAATTTAAAAAAACTGGGTTCCTCAGCTTTTCCGTTAAATTCAGGAACATCCGTTTGAGCACTTTTTGTCTTACATTAAAATAATATAATATTTTATATTTCAGTACACACTAGTATATTCCGATTTCATCCTACCGACTGCGCCAATGAAATAGAAAGAGATGTGTTTCACAATACTTCGTTTTTTTAATAATATTTATTTAAAAACTAACTTAGATGAAAATGTAATTTACAAACTAGAGTGGTAAAAATAAAGTAGAAAGTAAATTTGGGGATTTAATTGCTACATGTTCGAATATGTGTGGGAGAGCATTCGAACAAAGAAGGTTTTACATAACTAAAGGGGTAGAATGGGCGATTATTCTTTCCGACCCTACAAATCACCAGGAGTAGATGGAATCTTTCCTGCTGAACTACAGAGGGCGGAGGACTTCCTATCTCCAGCCCTACATGATATATTCGGAAGCTTCGAAAAAGGACTTGCCGTGAAGGAGTATACACTTGGTATTTTCCTCGATATAGAGGAAATAGATGTTAGTGGCATACGCTGATGACTCCCCAATGCTCTTGTATAGTTGTCCACGGCTAAGTACATGCCTAAACTGGCCTTCACCAGGAAGCTGACTCAAGATGGTTGAACGAAATCACGTGAAACGTGACCAGAGAGCTGTGGGCGCGAAAAAATAAAAAAATCTTATCCTTCTGGACAATTTTAATTTTCCTTCCAGCACCTTCGATATCATCAAGAAATCTATTCTTCCTACTCAGTCCAAAGTATCATCTCCTTGCAAGAGTCATTTCGCAAAGAATTTTTAGACTGACATTGTTGTTGGTATTAATATTGGCTCCAAGATAGACGACGATATGAACCTTTTGAGAGTTATTGTTGTTAAGGCAGCGGCTTAGACCAGCAGCTGTATCTTATAGAATATTGTACCATCTCTATTCAGCTCTGCAGCTCGTATTATTTTATCCAGCACAAATAAAAAAAAGAGTACCTTGGTCTGATCCCTAGTATGGTAACGAACGGAGAGGACTTCACGACCCTGACGGAGTTTTTAGTGTTCCTCAAGGTCAGTTTACAAAGCCGTATAAATTTTGCCGGAATGCCAAATTCAGGCGTATCGTTGTAGAAGAAGCTTTTTTCGTGCTGCCCTAGACTGTTTCAAAATCGACGAAGACGTAGTGTGCGTCGATTCTCTTTTCTCTAATATTTTCCATGATTTGGTTTGATGAATATCCGGCTAAATGTTTGTTATCATATGACAATAACACTCCGAATTGACAGTGACGGTTTCGTGTTTTTGTTGTTTTCGAAAAAGCTTGATCCAAGATGTTCTGTTATCTGGACTTTATATGGATGCAGATGTAAGTACACTTTCACTTACAGTGATATTTTTTGTGCGACGAACACAATACGCGAACAATAACTTGACCCTATTTCGATATGATGTCGCTTTAATTTTTGTATTTATGTAGAACTCACCACTCCTGATTTTACAACTCTTTTCCAATATCTTCTTATTTTACTGCAATTAAGTTTATCTATTATTAAATTTAATATTTTTAGTTCCTTTAAAATTTTTTCTTTTATTTTGTGACTTTACTCGAGATTCTAACAATTTTCCCAATGCAGAGGCATTCATAAATATTTAATATTTCTTATAGCAGATTCGTTGGATTTGTGAGAGAGTGAAAATCGAAGTGATAAATGCAACCGCTACTACATCTACCAACAACTTGAATCGTATTTGTATAGCTAGATTTGCGGTCGGGCAAAGACGCATTAGCATATGCAAATATTATCATAGCAAACATATGTGACCAGAGAGAGCTTTCATGAAAACAAAAATACATGGCATGTTGTAGACGTGCTTTTTTTGTTTGTTTGTTTACCCTGCATATGTAAATTGTGTCAATAGCATAAAAGAAATGCAAACTAACACTAACATAACAATAACATAGACCACAAATACCTTTTGTGGTTTTCAGCTTGTTGCTTGCCTTCAGGATGCTCTCCTACTTGCACGTCTGCGTCTATTTGTCTGTTCATGAAGCTTACCATGCTACGCTGCCTTTATCTACCACATTTCAAATATCTATGAGAATTGTAGCTTTCACAGCATTTGGTCACAACTGTCCTTAGCAATTGCCATGCTGCTTGTTGAAAAAACAGCTTTATTAGTAAACGTTTTCAGGAAACTAAAAAAATAGTTCATATGCAGACAAAACACGATAATGACAGCTTTTTCGACTGATGTGGATAAACTTTGGAAATGAGAGTATAAAATTCAGGCTAGAAGTCACAGGTATAAGTAACAAGTAAATTATATGAATCTATGAATTAATTGTGGAAGAAATACAAACGAAAATATTTGGTCCTCAGAAATAAGATATAGAGAAATCCGTATGGCGAACGGTCTAATGGAACTATAGTTCAAAGTTTTAATCCCAAGGAGTAGACCTTCCTTGAGATCAACAGCTTCTGAAATGTGTTTTAGTCTCTTATGTGTTTTTTTTTTGTTTATTTGTCAAAGATTAATATTTATTCAGTGGATCTGCTTCAACATCGGAAGCCTAACACTGAGTAATAAAATCTTAAACTGAACTAAAACATATAATCCATTAGCCGGAATGAGTTGCTGGCTTGACTTTGCTCTTTAGAAGGCTAATTTGTCTCTTCTTCGCAGGCGGGTTTGACTTGTTGCATAGGCCAAGATGTTAGCCAAAGGGTACTTACGCAGTTTTATTAAGTATTTTTGTGATGCAATTTCAATATCTTCTTTGGTAGTAGGTAGATTTAGGTCTCTATGGATATTTTCATTACGCATATACCATGGTGCGCCCGTTATTATTCTTAATGCTTTCGATTGGAATGTTTGAATTATATCTGTACTCGTCGTGCATTCTGTGCCTCATTACTGGTTTCCATATATCCATATCGGTTTTATTGTTGCCTTATATAACAGGATTTATTGCTAAGGCTAAGGCCCGACTTCTTGTTTAAAAGCCAATGTAAACTGGCAGATTTTAGCTTAAGTTGCTGCTTTTTAGAAGCAATGTGTCGTCTCCTGGTTAAGCGCCAATCCAAGTTGGCTCCCTGGTATGTAACTTCGCCAGCTTGCGGGATCGACAGATTCTTGAGCCTAAGAGTAGGGCAAGTTAGGTTAGACAATTTTTGAGAGAACCTCTTTTCACTTTTCGCTTTTTTATTTTAAATTTTTTTATCTTTATTTAAATCACCATTGAGCATAAGTCGTTGATCGGTTGAGATCCGATCGGATTTTATGACTTTGTTGAGGTTTCTGTTTTGTAGCTTGTAGAGGGATTTGTTTTGTGAAATTACTTTCCATTTTCATATTTGGGGAGCTCTTATGGGGAGAGTATAAATAGGGGTATTTGTTGGGTTTGAGCATTTCGTTAGAATCTGTAGGTACTGAGTGGTATTGTTAGCCAATTTCATATTGGCCGAAAGCCATTCTGCCGGGTCGATATTTTAAATCTCTTTACCCGGTAGTTGCACAGGAGGAGCGCAAGAGAAAGGATGATCTTCTGGTTGGGCATCTTTAAAATCAATTTACAAATTGAGTTAAGCTGCCGCAGCTCCTGAAATTTGGATCGAGAACTTGACCATATCAACCTAGATTGACAAGATTATTTTCCAAAAGATTAACAAAAAAATTGTGATTTGGATACAAATATAGATCGTACGTAAGTTTTTCCGCAGCTCCTTATTATTATACATTTATCTTTCTCCAAATTTCTAATTTGAACGAAACAATGATGAGCTAATATGCAAATATTATCTGGTAAATAAATAGCATATATAGATATTCGTAATTATAAATTTTTAGAATTTTCATAAAAGTAATTTGCATAAAATTTCTGGTTACAATACATGAAAAATACCATTTAGCTTAAAAGCTCACCATCCGCATGGAAAATAAAGGTATCACTTCTGTCTCTAGAGCACAATTATGCTATCGCATATCTTATTCGAGTACATGTACTTGGATTTCCATACAAAACAAGTAAATGAATAGCGTTGCTCTCTGTGAAGTGACATGTGGTTGATTTGTTGCCCAAGACAATGTCACTTAGTCAGCCAACTATGTCGCTCATGCTGGTGAGCGGAGTGGAATTGAGTTAAGTGCGCTCACACATGTAGAGTTCATTTAAACCCACTCTAACCAAATGTTTGTTTTTCTGTCTGCTTTCATTTCTGGTTTTCTACATACCGATGCTAGAATTTTTCTACTTTCCAACTACATAACAGTACAGTAACTAAATATCCATTAATTTGACTGTCGCTTCGTTACACGCCTATGTACCTACACATTTTAATTTCATTACTTTCATCCATTCAACGTATCATATTGTCGGCAAAAATTATGCACTACTTCCTTGAGAGCTTTATATAGCTTAGCATATGCTTAGGCGTTTTAGATGCTTAGTAAATATTTTATTCACACTACAGTGAAATGAAGTGGAAACACGTAATATTAAATAGAAATATATAACCCCTGAAGAGATTTTCGGCCGAGCTCCTCCTCCGAGGGCATGAGTCATTAAAGGGTTAAGGTAGATCCCCAAAAGTTGGAAGGCTGGCCACGCGTCGCCATGCCCCGTAGGCTCTTTGTTTTAAAAAACTTTAGTTTGAACATAATATAAAATCAACCATCAAGGTGTGATCACCAGCTATGTACCCCAATCAAATCTAAACACTCTATCTTATCTATTACACTTTAATTATTACATTATGAAACAAACAAATTCTTGCAATTAATCTTAAATAATATTAAATCTTTAAAAATATTGTATTTCACTGCAAATAATAAAAGTATATGTAGCCTCTCAGAAATTGAAAATTGCATAAATAAATTGAATTCACAAATCAATACATAATTCAATCCATTATTTTATATGGAAATGAACAATATTTGATATTACGTCGTATCCGAAAAGCTGATGGTATTTATGAGGAGCATTTATTTCATGTCAGAAATACATTCGAAAGGCTTGACATTCCGCCGAGCGGCGACCGTAATATGCAAAAATTAATTTGTAGATTTAAATTATTAAATTTTAGATTTTTCATGAATTTTAGAAGTTGGTTCGTTCATGTTTCACACCAATAACCCTCCGCTTGCTAGAACGTACTGCGAGTCACCCGGTTACTATAGCAAACGTCTAACAGGCCTATTCTCACTGTTACCGAGAAAGTAAATTTTGTTACTTCTCTTTAACACCCGAAATTGAATTTGGTATTCTGGTGAAATGGTTACAATATTTGAAAAAAGTTTGGCAGCACTGTTTTTTTGTCCATGTCAAATAACATTTGCCAGTTGATAAAGTAAAAAGAAAAATATTCACATCGAAATGGAAGACAGTGCACAAAAAATTAAAAAGTTTTGTTTATTAAATCATAAATATTTGACCCTAATTATGGAAATTATGCCTAGACAACAAAAAAAGCTGAATGTAAACGTTATCTTACAAATTAAAGGGATATTTTTTAATCTCGAAAACTTCTTAAATACGGCTTATTGCACTTTTTTTTCATCTTAAATGAATTACAGGCATAAAATATGCCTACCCATTCTGGTTTTTTATTTTTTCTCAAACTAACAACACAAAATCAAACAGCAGATTTTTCGTTACCTCCTATTACGCCGGTAACAAAATTTACAGGGTAACAGTGAGCTCAGAATACGAAATGGTAACAAAATTTACTGAATGGTAAATTTTAATACCTACGAAAATTTTGTTACCTCGACAGAATAGGTATGTGAATTGTGTAAAGACCGAACCACATATCAAGTCAGAAGTGTGAATTAAGGCAAAAATTAGTGGCATTAGTGTGCTTCAAGCTTAAATTCTCTACGTAGAAAAATATTTTTACATAAGTAGGGGAAAAGTTAAAAAATATATATAGATACCTCATAATAATTCTATATAGATATGCCAGAATAATAGTGGATTAAAAAATATCTATTATGTTAAGGGTGAGCTAGTCGAATAGAATTTCCATTATTTTCATTAAAATTAGGTCTTAAGAATATTCAAAGTAAATTTAATGTTTAATTATATTATACTCAAAGTTTTTATTCAACTATACCCAACTATAGTGGCAAGTTTTGAAAATGTTATAAAGAATGCTCTAACGAGATAAAAAGTTTCCTATCATATAATCTTTGTCTATAGCGCGACAAAACAGCTAGTGCAAATCTTCTAGAGTACCGAGAGACAAGACGCTTAAGCCTTAGATGTCTCGCTTTCTATTATACACATATGATGAATTTCTAGCTCATTTACCAATTTTTTGCCACTAGACTATTGTAATTTTCGTCGAAGCTGAACACATCTCATCGAGTAAGGGCACAGACAATTTTCTCTATATAATTCCGCAAATTATTGATACATTGAGAAAATTCTTGGCTATAACTACAATACATAGAACACTTTGAAGATCTAAGAGTACAAAATGCGGTGTAATACATTCAAATTTTTAATAAGATAGAGGTTCTCATTTAAATATGCAGATTCTTTTATTTCTGGAATAAAATTAAATTATTGCAAATGTTTGGTCCTAAATAACTATAAATAAGACTTTGGGTATATCTCACTAATTGTAAAGAAGGACTTTTATCAATTTAGCTTCTATACTTTTCTCCGGTTAACTAAACCAAAGCAGCAAGCACATATTATACGTCTACGTGGATGGAGTAAAAAAATTGCAGCTAACACACGTGGTAATCCATTATTTTATAAATAAATGGCTTAATTAGAAAAATGATATTTTGTTCTAAAAAGGACAATGGAAGAAGTATGCTTGAGATGGAGACCATGAAAGTTTTTTATAGTCCTGATGTCACTGTAACTGTCAGTCATTCACAATTTTGGTTTAGTCGATTTTTTCTGGTAATTTTCGATGCCCTCGGCAGCGGTACTGCATTTCGTACTGCCATTCGAAAAGCCCTGGTTAAAATCCTGGACAAACATCCAAAAGTTATAAAAAATTAAATTAATTAAAAAAATATGTTTATAACTGCGGTGCTCTTAGCAGGCTGTCGATTCTCAGGTTGTGATAAACGAAGGACGTGTATACAGTGCTTTAGATGCACGCACGTTCCGAGGTCCTAACATCGACTCGCACCATTATCTTGTTGCAGCAAAGATACGCACCCGACTCTGTGTATCTAAGAACGCCCGTCAACAAACCCAAG